GATTAAGAAATGTTATAAAATTTATACTATATATAACTAGACATTTTTTTTTCACATACAGTAATACTTTTGTCCTCAACAAAATGGACTGTTATAAGCTTGGCAGGTATATGTTAGATTGAAGTGTGAAAAAGTATTTCGCTTGCGCATTTTAGGCTTAATCACATGCATGAACAAATATATGACTACTTACATGTATAGAATAAATTTGTAACGTTTCACTTTCATTAAAAGGCGGCTGCCTTAAAATTCTTTAATCTTTTTATTCAACAACAAATGCTTTCAAATATAATTATTATAATATATAAATTCCAACAAAGATAGAGGGAAATGACGTCTCAAAATTTATGACGTCGTCGGGAATATATACGTCATGGCGCAGCGAGCAGTAAAAGGACATATGTCCTTCACGCAGCCAGAGGGATAAGCTCTTCTTCAATATTTCGTACAAAGCACACCTTTGGTTTAAATTGTGCAATTATATAATGAAAGAACTGTTTCTACAGAATACAAAAAAAGTTTTATTTTTTAGATCAAGAGGAGCGCTGAAAGTATTCAAATTAACCTTTTTTCTATAAAATTCAGGAACGCTGCAATTACATGTACCTCACAAAGCCTTTTTTTCTAATACCTTGACACTCAGAGAAAACTTTAATATAAGAAATTAAAGCTCTAAGTGTCTACTTTATATCGATGTTTGAAATGGCTAATAGAGTGTTGGTCAATAAAATTGGTATATTTACAGAGCAATTTTATGCATAAAGTGACCCTAGCTCTTTTAACATTTCGTATGGGACATGAATTCGTGGGTCTCTCCATACCATGAAAACAACAAAAAATTACCTCCACGAAAATTAGTGATTTCACAGATTGTTTCTCGTTTGCTAACTTAAACATAGTTTTTATTACCATTAACAAAGTGAGTTGTTTGGCTTATATAGCACCACTAAATAAATATCACATCCGAGTACATTACGTCCAATGAACCCAGTTCCGCTATCAGGGCCCTCAAACATCAGTGCATTAGCCAATCAAAATGCATTTTACAAAAAAGTTGCATTAGAATAATTAATTTTGGACACTTTCTCAGATTATTGAAGCAAAATATACCTTGGAATAAATTCCGGGTAGTACTGATGCACGGTTATTTGTTCCCTGATAGCTTGTTTCTTTCCTAAGAGGAATTATTAAATTTTAAGTATAATTCGAAAATCCTGGATGCAACATAAAATTTAAAGGAATAAATAATTCATAATGACATTTTGGATCACATGTTTGGCATTGGTTTCCCTGTTAAAAGTTCACACTGACGGGGGAATCGTGTGAGCTGATTTTATCGATTCATCACACGTAGAAGACACTAATTTTAGCAATTATAAGGATTTTGTATGTACAGGGGCAAATCAATGACATGGACTTACACACTTTACTAACTTTATTAACCTATTACTTTACCCACGTGAAAAGACATGTGGATTTCAGCAATATATTTTCTTTACTGTTTCATTAACATTCAGATACATGTACATTTCTTCCCAGTCTGTATTCATTCAGAATTCTCCATAATTATGTTCTCCAAACGAAGTTTGGGAACATATTGTTTTTACTTTCTTTTTTCAAAATTTCTTCTCCGATATTTTTTTGTCCGCGAGTATCTTGGAAACTCCTCACCCGATTGAGATGAAACCGTTTTAGGGTTAACAGGCATGTTGTGTAAATGTGCAGAATGAATGTTATTTTGCGCGCACATGTATGCACGTGATTGTGCATGCAATAAGTAAAATGACTGATATACTTAATGTAGCCATAACTTTTACATTTATTGATGAGTTGCTTTGAAACTCAAAACATAATTAAATATGTCACTAGAGTAGACAAGTTGACAAAGTCAAATTAGCATAAACTCACACGCATGCACATGCGCTTCGCTGTGATTGACTGGAAAAAAAATCTCAATATCTTCCTTGATTTTGGACAAAATCCTTTGAAATTAAATGTATAGGTATATATTTTAAGGTTCTACAATATCTTGAAAACACGTGCATGTACGTTTCTGCAATTTGATTGACCGCAACTATAAATGACTATAACTTCTCTAGTTTTCAACAAAACAGAATGTTTAGAAGATAGGTAGGTAGATAGAGGAACTAGTAAGTTATTTTAGAACTTGTTTCCAATATTTTTGATGTAATCCATAAAATATGTTCAAAACATAGGTAGGTATAATGGATTCCTACATTATGCTACTGTCAAAATTGAATGCAAGGATATGCATGCGCGTGTGCTGAAACCTGATTGGCTAATACTTTATAGCCTGTATCTCTCTTACAATTCCATATAATTCTTTGAAATTTAAGACATTGGAATATGTTATAAGGCATTATTAGAATATATCTTTGAGAAATCTAGAAAATACGCGCAAGCACATTAGCTGAAATCTGACTGGCTAATGTTGTTAGAATTTATAACGTTCTGAATTGTTAACGAAAGATGATGGAATTCAGAGAATATATAAAAAATGGAAGTTCCTACATTATTCATTCATCAGAAATGAGTATTAGGACATGCATGCACGCGAGCTGATATCTGGTTTTGACATTCATGTTGCTGTAACATTCTATGTTTTCAGTGAAATTCTTTGGAATTTAAAATGGATCTTTTTATTAAGGCATTCTATCAGATTTTGTACAAGTATATGGTAATTTTCGAAATCGTGCTTGCACGTGTACTTAAATCTGTTTTGCTTATGCTCACTGTGCTATATTTGCATTGTTATTTCTTTAAAATACTTTTGAAAAAAAATCTATTGTTGACGCATATGGGGAATGAGGCCCCAAAGGGAGTAGGGGGAGCGTTTGGGGAAAATCTGTAACGGTTTCTGTTACAATTAGAACTATTTTGATATTTGATAAGTTAACCCTGCAATGCATTTTTACTTCTAAATAAAATCTGTTTGTGAAACACTGATGCAGCTCATGGCGAAGCTTATATAGTTTCTTAAACGCTAGTCAAACTCCAGGTCAAGGTCCTAAGATTGAAAAAAAAAATATTGGTACTCAAGGGAAGGCCTTGTCACAAGAAATACACATAATATGTTTTAAGGTGCCACCGTTGAGGCGAGCGCAGTTCTATACCATAAAAATAATTTAAATAGCGTACACTTAAAACTTTGATCCCTCTCCTCAAACAGCACGAGACAGTTTAGACTGTGAATCAAATGACTTCGTACGTAAGTTGCATTTCGGTAACTGAGTCTAAAAAGGCACCCGTGAAATATAAAAGCCCTAGCACTAACCCTTCAAAAGTTATGACCAAGGTTAAAGTTTTTTTAGAAGTGGGTCAAACTCGAGATCAACAATATTTGTACGCAGGGAAAGGTCTTATCACAAGGAATAAACAAGAAAGCCCTTGCACTAACTGTTCAAAAGATATGCCAAAGTTAATATTTAGTAAAATTTTGCAAAATTGGATCAAACTCTATGGTCAAAAGGTTAAATATGTTAATACCCAAAGAATGGTCTTGTCCCAAGTAATATTTATATGAAATATGAAAGCCATACATGTAGCTCCAACCAATCAAAATTTATGGTTAAAGTTTTGCGGACAAACAGACAGACAGACGTATAGAAAAAAAACTACTGGGGCAACAAAATGTTTACTGGAGTATATACAATGTACAGGATATACAAAATGTATTGCATTTTATTTATTTATATTTTTGTTGTAACCAAACAGGAAAACATTTTTTTTTACCAAACGTTTGAATAAAAACTAACAAGATAGGATCCTAAAACTAATGGTCAGTCTTTAAAAAAAGTTTGTTCCGCCACTGCATTGCTTGTTGATTAATATGTGAAAATCAGAATTATTGAATATTTCAGATTCAGTAGTGACCCTTTAAGAGTTCACAATAATCACCTATTTCTAGCACTCACTTTGAAAAACGTTACAACTTTTAGAAACATGCACTAAGCATTGACTACTATATAAAACAGTTAGGTTTGCTTCTTTCGACATTTTTTATCTCCTGTCCAAATTTTTAACAGAATGTGGGGAATCCTACTAATTTTTGGGACATAGTCCCAAGAACCACATTCCGTTTACAAGTATATATACATATGCATGCATTCCTGATCCTGATTTCTGATCCTTAGCTAGACTACTTTTGCAGCAAAGATATGATTTGATCATTTAAAGACTGGGAATACTTCATAAAAAGTAAACATTGCAAAGGATCAACTACAAAAAAGTCAATTACCAGTGTTGTCATAGTAACGATAAATATGTTGAAATGGATCTCTTGCACGCAGTGAGTTAATAATAACTCGAACCGAAAACAGGAGTTTAGGAAGGCTTACGTAATCAACTGCACTTCATCTGCATAGTTTTTGAAAGTATCTTTGAAGTTTTCGGATGGTAAAATCAATGTTTTGACCCAATTTTAAATATTTCAATTACTGGGATTGATGGAGAGAATCGATTAGAATTTACGTGTGATCTTCTAGCGCTTTCTATCTGATAAAAGTGATCATAGACAGGTTTAATCTATAGCTTTTTGCATCATCTAAGGGGAATTAAGTTTTGTAAAATTGTGATTCACAATTAGAAAAGTTGAATTTTACAGTGTGGTATATGGTATGATTTCAAGCATATAAATACAAAAATACTATTGCAGATAGATTGTAGTGAATGCTATAATTTCTAGCATATTTAGAATATTATTGCAGATAGATAAGAATAAATAATCCAACACAATTAATAAAATTGGGAATATATTAAAGTTTTTTTTTCTGTTTTACACTATATTGAAAAACATTGGGAAAATAAATTAAACTTCTGGCGACGTCAACCAACTCTAGATTCATACTGAATACACTACCGTCAAGAGCGCTGATACAAATACATTGGAATGGGTTTCCAATCAAATTTGAGCATTCATCGCCAAAATCAATGATACGCTATATATAACAACAGCGCAGTGACGAGGCGCGCTGTAAAGGTGTTGTGAAGAGTGCTAATGATTAGAATGTTCAATTCAGTGCCGCAAGACTGGAAAACTGCTAATTAAACGTTTTAAGGTAAGGAAATAAAATATTCCCACTGTTTAATTTGCATAATCATTCGACGTTACTTAATTTTTCATAATTGCCCAATTGGCGGCACTTGTGGAATGGTTGACAAATATACTGAAAACTCCGTTTAAAAAACCTAACCTGCTTTGGTAGTTTTGGCAGATTTGCAATTTTTCTGTAAATATTTTCTTAGGGAACAGCAATGTTTGTTATACAGAAAGGGTAAAAGAAAGAAAGAGAGGCGAATTAAAAAAGGATAGGTTTTAAGTTGATTTTTTTCAGAAGAGTAAACTTTTGTATGAACAATATTTAAAAACTATTGAAGAGTAATCTAACTGGTTTGAATTACAATTTTGTATATATATAAATAAAACAAATACAAAAAATGAAAGCAATTTATAATTTGATCTTAAGCTAGCGTTAAGAATTTGAGGGGAAAAAACAGTTCCATACATTTTGAATTTTGGTTTAAAAGGATGACAAAAATCTTTAAAATGTTCTCTGACCGCCTTGTATGTTAGTAATGTAAGATGAAATCACATACAAGCAAATCACGTATTTTATCCGAAATTTTGAGATGTAATAGATGTTTCAAATGCAAATTCATAAAATATGCTAATAATTCTGTGCATCATCGTGTTTATATTGTTGCAAAATCTGTCATCATATTATCACTATTTTATGTTTATCGCTATTATATGTTTTTACATTAAAGCTTTGTTGTGATCAATATCAAGTTAAAGCAGAAGGGAAACAAAATGCCAATACACTGATGGCGAAGACAAAATCACTGATTGCGTATGCGACGTATGTTGTAGTGGTTTGATCATGACGTCTCTATTATCATACAAATATCGCTGCAAATTACAAATGACTCGGCTCGAAGCTTAGAGTCTTAAAAGTCGGATTAGTTGAGCACACAGTGGAATATTAAATTCAAGACGTGCACACTATATAATTGTGGGCATCCGTATTGAAAGTTGTTCTAAAGGTCCTCTCATCAGGATATATAGTTAGCATGTTTTAGACTTAATTAACGCCAAACACTGAAAAACGGTCTACTATGGAATACGTGTTATGGTTTGGAATCATTATACAAGTTCATGCAAAATTTCTTGTTCATGTTGCCTGGTTTTTTTTTTCTCAATCATCGACGATTTTACAATTGTATTTGTTAGTAGCATACTTAAAAAAATGCCCTTCACGAGGTTGGCCTAACTTGTATAAAACCAGTAAGATTCCCCGATAATTAGTCAGTTATCAGTGACAGCTAGAAGAATCGCGAGGAAGGGGCCATCGTCTATTCTTCCAGCAGAGCCTATTTCTTGCACATAAATCTTGGATAACCTGGAACCTAAATGTTACCAAGCGTATCTAAAAGCCCTTGATAAATACAATTTCTTGGAAACACAGTTATGCTAACCCATTAATATCACCTCTGATTAGCAGTCGGATCTTCTTATTGATCCTAGTATTTTATGTTTTAAGGACACAGACAACAATGACAATAACTATTATTTCCTAAGACAAAGTAGCTGTTAATGTCTCTTTAAGCTTCTGTCTTGGTATTAGAGTTGTCCTTAAAGTAATGAATCTGCTGGACAAGAGCACAAGGATTGTGACAGAAGTGATACAAGAGAATTGAGTGCTTAGTTTTACAGATGGTTGCTTTAATGTCAGCCAACGAAGAGATGTATTCAGAAATTCACGATCACGAAGCAGATCCCTTATTATATTTATCATGTAAATGTATGTCCTAAATTGAGCGTTGATTGCTTAGTTTAACGTGCTTACTACAGTTATCTGTAATTTTGTCTTTATCTTACCAAACATAAATGTAGTTTCATATCGCAAATAGGAAATAAATATGGAATTGTCGTTTAGCGATAAATATTAATAAAAGTGAAAGATGAAATAAACATTTATTGGAAATTCATTTTGGGCAACAATGAGAGGGATTTTTTCAAAAGCCTACCAGATAACTTTTATTTATTGAACTTGGAAAACAAATTTATCAATGCTGTCACTCTCATAAAAGATGGCTCAGTCTTCGCACAAAGTATTCTAGGAGCATGCATTGATACAGAAAATTCAATGTATAAGAGAAAAAACGGTATATCTGCGGAAATGTCTATAACGCATCACGTATCATCCGAGATGAAAAGGGACTTTGAGAGTTCATATCTGTCTGGCGATCAATTTTAGAATTCAGCATATCTATATACCGTAATCATACCTCTGAAATCAATTTCAGAGATTATTTTTTTTCTTTGCGACAGAAATCGTAACGATTTTTTACTCCCAACTTACTCCCTACGAATTGTCTTTTTTTCGTCTCGCAGGAAACGAAGTAATTTAATTATAATATTTCGATAATAAGAGAGGATAACAAATGAAGTCATGTGAGGATAAAGGTACAAGAGCTTTTGTCTTGTAGATATCTTGAATTTTGGATTTGATTATAAGACGCATATTGAATCTTATTTGGATGAATTCCAAGTTCAACATTTTCTTTTTGACAAAGAAAAAAAAAATCTTCGAAGAACATTCTATTTGGTTTTATAAGGCCAAAGCAATTTCCCACTTTACCAAGATATATGGACTGTTTTTGAGGCTCTAATACAATATTTATTGAAGGAATTAGTCTGCATGTACGTTTACGGGCGTATCAAATCTCCGAATCAGTAGGCGCTTAATTTCATTTGCCTCCAACAATTACTGTATAATCAAATTTTGCATTAAACATTGCCATAAATGATTATTTACTGGTTTCCCTGTAAGTTGTGCTTTCGGATTGATTCAGCTGTTTTTATATATTCCCAGCGTGTCTTATTAACAAATTTACGGTATACATGATGGCAATGGTGCTATGATATTCCGAAAAAACGTCCGAAACAAAAGATCGCACTTCTTGCTGATCCGATCATTGATTGAAAGTGAATGCAATTTTATCCTTGGTCAACTTTTTTTTTTTTAAATATCAATTACATAGCGTGTAAGACACTAGAGGAAATATAAAAGCGCTTTGCTAAACATTTATATCTCAAGATCAATTTTTAATTTCGAAAATAAATGATCTCTTTGGAGGACGAAATTACCGAAAATTAGGTTTTTAACCAAGTCGTACTTTTTGAACTCAAAAGCCGATACGATGTTCATTTATTTATCGCTTCAAAGAATGTTGAAAGTGAAGGCGAGTAGAAACTAATCTAGATCAAAAAACATCAGATCCGCACTCAGATATTTTAATCAGTATTCTCAGTATACTCGCAGAAGCATTTTTTGTTGTGTAATTTCAAAAAAAAAAAAAGTAAAAGAAAACTGCAAAATTAGCAAAATGATTAGAATAATATGCGAGAAGATGAAGGACGCTTAAAACTTCAGAAACCCCTTAGACGTTAATTTGCCCTATCCTGATAAACTATAGGGGAGAATGGATAGATATTTCGTAGATTCAGTATTTAAGATATTAAACACAATATCTTATTTTCATTTGATATTCCTATTTTCATCCATGTACTTTATAACTGCCTCGTAAAACCCTGTCTTTGAAAGAGTTTAAAAGCACGAAATGCACTACCTTACTGTTCAGTATGTCATCAAGTTTACGGGAATTGGAAGTTTTAATTAAGAACTATGAACATTATCAAATACTTGAATAATCCTTCTTTGACGAGTTTCTTTTATAATTAGTACATTGATATGACATGCTGTATTTGTGAATATTCACTTAATTTTTATTTATTGTGTTCTCCAAAGTTAGGGAACATATCGTTATGACTCGTGTCCTATTTCTTCCTCTGTACTTTTTTGTCCGGGAGTTTTCTCGGAAACTACTGATCCGATTGAGATGAAACTTTTTTTGATTAATAGACATGTCGAGAAGAGGTGCGGAACGAAGGTCATTTGTGCGCACATGTATGCGTACGCGTGCAATTAGTGGAAAAACTCATTGGAAAAAGTAAACTGTAATGCTTTGTATGAAATGCTCTGAAACTCAGTACATGAACAAATATCAATACTCAAGTCAAAATTTCATGGTTGAATTGGCATGAACACACAAGCATGCACATGAGCTTCATTCCGATTGGCTGAAACAAAAACCTTCCTTGTTTTTGACAAAATATTTTGAAATTTAATATATAGATACCTATTATGAAGTTTTACAATTTGACGTATCCAAAATTTCTTGAAAATACGTGTTGGTTGAATCTTTGAATGACCAAAACTTTCTTAGTTATTTTAGAATATAGATAAATATAATATTTTCCCGCATTGTAATATTATAAAAACTGAATGGACAGTTATGCATGCACGCCGCGTGTGCTGAATTCTGGTTGGCTAATATTTTGATAACCGCTTCTCTCTTTCTTATCAAATAATGAAAACCTTTGAAATTTAATGTATATATTTATATAAAACACTTAACTTAAAAGGAAGATACATGTGCGAGATCTATAGATAAAAAAAATGCATGCATTCGCTCTGAAATTTGTTTAGTATTGTAAATGGCTATTAATAACTTCTTATGCAGTTTTCAACAAAGCAAGACAAAATACAGAGTTTGGGCAAATGATACGAGTCCCTGCATGACAGTATCATCAGAAAAAAAAGCTCATGTACCGAGTCTGATTGGTAAATATTTCGACTGCTGTAACAATTTTAAGTTTTAAATTAAATCTTTTGAATTTTAAATGTAGACCTTTATCATCAGATACTGTAAGGTTATGTACATGTATATGACAATTCTTGAAAACACGCGTATTCATGTGCACAGAAATCTGATTGACTAATACTCCTATACCTGTGTTGTGATCCGAAAATGAACTTTGGTAGGTAAGTCAAGTTCTATCATACAAAAGTATTGCCTAATTCATTTAAACTTGTAGGGAATAGGAACCCACAAGGCAGCAGGGGAGCCGTTTGGGGAACATCTGTAACAGTTCCCGTTACAATTAATACTACTTTATTTTGTGAAGCAGTTATATTTTTTCCTCTGATGATAA